GACTAGCACCTTGAAGCGTATCCGGAGACTGATCGGTAACCAGTGCAGCTTGCGGAGGATAGGTGTAACGTGGGTGTACCGAGGCATCTGTGGGTGTACCGAGGCATCCTTAATGCCCACATTGAAAGTGTGGGCATTAAGGATGGAAACCACTGCAACCCTACTGATCTCCCATTCTTCTTTGTGGCTGAAGAGACTCACAGGTAACTCACCTGTGCACAATTATTTATTCCTGGAGCTCCAGGTTGTCCCTGATCTCCCTTTTCTCCTTTTATCCCATTATTGCTTTGGGAGCTGCAGTCTCCACAGAGGGGTACCTATAAGAGAAGAGAAAGAACTAAGTCTGATAACGTTTACCACTTGCAATATGAATTTTTCTCAACTAAAGATATAAATTCTGGAATGACCACAGAGTCCAACCTTCTGCTTCCTGGAGAAATCTAAATTAAAGCATCCCCGAAGGAAGGCCATCCAACTTCTGCTTAAACTGCTGAATGAAGGACCATCCTACAACTTCCATTGATAATTTACTCTACTACCGAACTGCTCTTGTGCCTGGAAATATTTCTTCACATAAAGCTGAATTTTTGCTTGGTTATTTATTTAATTTATATACTGCCCATCTCCCCAATAAGGGAACACTTATCTTAGCATCAGTCTAAACATTTATATCTTCTGAAATGATAGAGAATGGGTCAGACCTTCACACGATCAATTTCTACCATTCAGCCATTCATATCTCTCTAACGTAAATCAGCTTTATAATACTCTTTATAATAATATATAATGCTCTATAATACTTGGGTGAAGCTTTACACTTTTGGTGAAAATCCCTTATGATTTGCTTTGGAAGATTTCAAGATATATGGATAACATATATGGACTTCAACTCCCAAAATTCTGGCCCCATGTTGACTGGGGAATTCTGGGAATTGAAGTCCACTGTTTTTAAAGTTGCCAACATTACGAAACCCAGAAAATTATCATTCCTCCTGCTTATTCATTTTTTTCTCAAAGAACCACCCCATTATTTGTTAGATATAGTTTCCAGTCCTCTGAGTGTCATCTTATTCCATTTCTCCTGAACCCTTGATCAATCAACAATTTCCCATGTTCTCCTACACTCCTAGTTACTTGGGTCAATTGGAAAATGTAATATAGATTTAATGATCAGTATCTCGAACCATCTCAGAAAAATCCAATGTTTTCTTTGCAAAATAATTATTTCCAAATGAACAAATTCAGGATTTATATTTTGTATTGCATTGCACTGCAATATTGTATTTATTGAATTGTCTTCAATTTATGACTGATTGCCTAGCAACCATTCAAAGTTATAATGCAGCCCCAGAGAGTTATGGCATTTATGACCTGATTTTGAAGTTATGGCGGCTACCCCCACCTCTCCATGATCACACAATCACATTTTTGGGTATTTGGAAGTGGCTCATCCTTATGGCCATTTGCAATGTCCCATGGTGACATGGCCAAGATTTTTGGCACTTTTTGCTGATCTTTACTTCTAGTTTCCAGCAAAATATGCCGACTGGGTATGGGGTTGGCTGCTGGGGGTTCGCATGGGTTCGGGTGATCCTCTAGCTAGGATTCTGCCCAGTTCGGCAAACCCTCAAATCAGGGGTGGGCTCTGGTTTATTTTACTGCCGGTTCACTCAGTGATGCACTTCAGATGTACATGCACTTCCGGCGTGCATGCCCTTGATGCGCACTACACGTGCATGAGCAGTAGTTCAAACTCCTTCTGCGCATGCGAAGGAGCAAAAAACAAGACATAGAACCACTTCGGGTGGCCGAATTACTATCTACTTGACCGAATAGGTCTGAACTGGTAGGAACCCACCTCTGCCTCAAATGCCACCCCTGGCTGGACACATCCACATCCATCCCATCCTGCTCCTCCCAGGAATCTCCACATGTCCCATTCATCATGCCAGGTAAGTGCAGGGCCCATGTGGAGGTTCGGAGAGGAGGAAAAACGGGACTACTGGAGGTTCCGGAAGTCTGGAAACGGGCCTGTTTCTCTGGAAAGCCTCCAGAGCCTGGTGGAAGCAGTTTTCACCCTCCCAGAGGCTCGAGGAAAGCCTCTGGAGCCTTTGGAGGGTGGTGTAGGAGGCTGAATATGCCATGCCCACCCTGGCCACACCCACCCAGCAACGGCGCAGCGAACTAGTGATGGGTTCTGGATCCCGTTGCTACCGGTATAACAATAACAAAGTTTTCTACTACTCCTTTCCAAATCGCTGTCTAAAATTTAAATCCAGTTTCCTTATATTATACCCATATCTATATATATGTTGTTATTCTTATCCCTCCTTAATTCACTATATCCTGCGTCACAACATTTCCCCCCTAATAATCAAAACTTTAACTGTATCTAAGTTAGTTCCCTTTTTTATTAACCTTTATGTATAATCCAAAGAGATTTCTAATCTTCCTTACATGGGTACCATTCAATATTCATATCCAATTATACTCATCATAACACTACACATTATATACATTAGTAACTATCAATTATTTATTTAAACTGTATCTATTGTCAATAAATTTCACTAAGTTTAACAGTTTTAAATTATATTCTTCCATCTA